ATCATGTGTGTATTAAAGTGGTGTTTCCCGAGGTTTCTCCTCACTCCCAGCATAAGGCGCTAGTAGATTCAGGCGCAGCTGGGAATTTCATTGATCGCCAGTTCACTTATAAATTAGGGATACCTATCGTGCCTGTTGATGTGCCCTTCCCCATTCATGCCCTAGATAGCCGCCCGTTGGGGTCTAGGTTGATTAGGGAGGTCACGGCGCCTCTCCGGATGAAAACGCAGGAGGGTCATGAGGAGATAGTACGGTTGTATTTGATTGATTCTCCTGCGTTTCCCGTGGTGTTGGGGCTTCCCTGGTTAACAGCTCATGACCCCAACATTTCATGGCAGCAGAGAGCTCTCCAGGGATGGTCTGATCAGTGTACTGGGCGGTGTTTAGGCGTTTCCGTAGGGGCAACGACGGTGGAAAGCCCGAACCAAGTTCCCGCCTTGCATATTCCACCTGAGTATGCCGATTTGGCTCTCGCCTTCAGTAAGAGGAAGGCGACTCAATTACCACCTCATCGACAGGGGGATTGTGCGATAGACCTCCAGGTAGGCGCTGCGCTTCCACGTAGTCACGTGTATCCTCTATCTCAGGAGGAGACGGCCGCTATGGAAACCTACGTCACCGAATCATTGAGACAGGGTTACATACGCCCTCTACTTCCCCTGCTTCCTCGAGTTTATTTTTTGTGAAGAAGAAGGATGGGGGTTTACGGCCGTGTATTGATTACCGTGGTCTAAATCAGATCACCATCAAATACAGCTATCCTCTCCCTCTGATTGCTAGTATGACGGAGTCATTACACGGGGCGCGATTCTTCACAAAATTAGATCTCAGGAGCGCGTACAACCTGGTGCGCATTAGGGAAGGAGATGAGTGGAAGACAGCATTCAGTACCACCTCGGGTCACTATGAATACCTCGTCATGCCATACGGGTTAATGAATGATCCTTCAGTCTTCCAATCATTTGTGGACGAGATTTTTTCGGGACTTGCATGGACAGGGTGTTGTGGTATATATTGATGACATCCTAATATATTCCGCTACACGAGCCGAGCATGTGTCCCTGGTGCGTCGAGTGCTTGGTAGACTGTTGGAGCAATACCTGTATGCGAAGGCAGAGAAATGTCTGTTCTTCCAGGAGTCCATCTCCTTCCTGGGACATCGGTTGTCCGCGTCAGGGGTAGAGATGGAGATTGACCGCGTTTCGGCCGTGCGTAATTGGCAGACTCCGACCACGGTAAAGGAGGTGCAGCGCTTCTTGGGTTTTGCCAATTACTACCGGAGGTTTATCCAGGGCTTTGGACAGGTAGCAGCTCCCATTACCTCTCTCCTAAAGGGGGGTCCGGTGCGCCTGCAGTGGTCAGCTGAGGCTGACATGGCGTTTAAACGCTTGAAGGACCTGTTTACCTCGGCTCCGGTGCTGGCGCATCCGGATCCCTCTTTGGCGTTCCAGGTGGAGGTGGACGCTTCCGAGGCTGGGATCGGCGCTGTGCTGTCTCAGCGCTCGGGTACGCCACCTAAACTCCGCCCCTGTGCTTTCTATTAGAAGAAGCTCAGTCCGGCGGAGCGCAATTATGACGTGGGGGATAGGGAGCTGCTGGCGGTGGTTCAAGCCCTGAAGGTGTGGAGACATTGGCTTGAGGGGGCTAAACACCCTTTTCTCATTCTGACTGACCATCGTAACCTGGAGTACATCCGGGCAGCGAGGAGGTTGAATCCTCGCCAGGCAAGGTGGTCAATGTTTCTTTCCCGCTATGTATTTAAGCTCACATATATACCAGGGTCCCAGAACGCTAAGGCAGACGCCCTGTCCCGACTATATGACACAGAGGAGAGGTCCATTGAGCCCACTCCCATACTCCCGGAGTCTTGTTTAGTGGCACCGGTAGTGTGGGAGGTGGATGCGGAAATCAAGCGGGCGTTACGTTCCGACCCTACTCCTCCACAGTGTCCAGAGGGTCGGAGGTACGTGCCGCTCGAGGTTCGCGACCGGTTTATATACTGGGCTCACACGTCACTCTCCTCTGGTCCTCCGGGTATTGGTCGGACAGTGCACTGCCTTAGTGAGAAGTACTGGTGGCCAACCTTAGCCAAGGACGTGAGGGTTTATGTTTCCTCCTGCTCGGTGTGCGCCCAGTGTAAGGCACCTAGACACCTGCCCAGGGGGAAGTTACAACCCCTACCCGTTCCACAACGGCCGTGGTCTCACCTATCGGTGGATTTTGTTACGGACCTTCCCCCCTCCCAGGGGAACACTATGATATTGGTCGTTGTGGATCGGTTTTCTAAAGCCTGCCGTCTCATTCCCCTGCCAGGTCTCCCTACTGCCCTACAAACTGCTGAGGCCCTGTTTACACACGTCTTCCGGCACTATGGGGTGCCTGAGGATAAAGTGTCTGATCGGGGTCCCCAGTTCACCTCTAGGGTCTGGAGGGCATTTATGGAACGTCTGGGGGTCTCGATTAGCCTTACCTCAGGTTTTCACCCCGAAAGTAATGGGCAGGTGGAGAGAGTTAACCAGGATGTGGGTAGGTTTCTGAGGTCATATTGCCAGGACCGGCAGGGGGAGTGGTCGGGATATATTCCCTGGGCAGAGATAGCCCAAAACTCCCTCCGCCATTCGTCTACTAACCTGACGCCTTTCCAGTGTGTGTTAGGTTACCAGCCGGTTCTGGCACCTTGGCATCAGAGCCAGATCGAAGCCCCTGCGGTGGACGAGTGGTTTCGGCGCTCGGAGGAAACTTGGAATGCTGCGCATGTCCATCTGCAGCGTGCCATCAGGCTGCAAAAGGCGAGCGCCGATCGCCACCGCAGTGAGGCTCCGGTGTATGCACCAGGAGACCGGGTCTGGCTCTCGACCCGAAACCTGCCCCTTCGCCTGCCCTGCCGGAAGCTGGGTCGGCGGTTTGTGGGGCCCTTTAAAGTCCTGAGGAGATTGAACGAGGTATGTTATAGGTTACAACTGCCCAGGTATTATCGCATTAACCCCTCGTTCCATGTGTCTCTCCTCAGGCCGGTGGTGGCTGATCCACTCCAGGAGAATGAGGTACGAGAGGCTCCTCCGCCCCCGTTGGACATCGAGGGGGCTCCGGCGTACTCAGTCCGGTCCATCTTGGATTCGAGGCGTCGGACGGGGGGGCTGCAGTATCTCGTGGAGTGGGAGGGGTACGGTCCGGAGGAACGGTGCTGGGTCCCCAGGAGGGACATTCTAGATCCCTCCATGTTGAGGGACTTCCACCGGAGTCATCCGACTCGCCCTGCTCCGCGTCCTCCTGGCCGTCCCTGAGGCCGGGGTCGGCGCACGGCTGGAGCCGCGCGTCAAGGGGGGGGTACTGTCACGGAATCAGCCGAGGCTGCTCCTCCTCCCTGCTCGGGCAGGCTTCGGCGTTCGCCGTCCCCGGAGTACTAGCTGCCACCGATCTATGTTTCGGTGTTTGACTTGTTGTGTCCTGATTGTGTACACCTGTTCCCGATTATGTTGTATTGTATTCCCTATTTAACCCTCTGTCGTGCATTGTGTTTTGTGTGTTATTGTTTGCGTCATCGGCAGTGTGCGGGTTGTTTGTTTTCTCCGATGTTGGAGACAGTTTCTTTTCACTGGCTACTTTCATTAAAGTATGGTTTCCAGTAGCTCTGTGTCCTGCGTGTGACTTCGCCTACCGCGTTTCACTGTCGCCGTTCTGACAATTACCCACTACCAGTTTATAAAGTGTTAGGTTTCTCTGTTGTTTCCCTGCATCACTCAGTGTGTTCTCCTTAAACCAGTGTATGCATGGAGGGTCTTCAAGATGCAATCAAACACCAATTGCCCGAGTTGGAGACGGAGCATCTGAGGGGAAATGTTGGAGTGGAGAATATTAGAGACTTTGAATATGTTCAGCCGGAGGACATAAAATACCATTTGATGCCAATACAGAGCCGGAAATTGCTTCAGTCCTTTAAGCAAAAAGGTGAGATTTTGATTGATAAATGTAACATGTTTATGTAATTGTTATGAAAAAAGGTGCTATCTAGAACCTAAAATGGTTATTTGCCTGTCCCCATAGGAGAACCCTTTGAAGAACCCTTCTTGATTCCAGGTACATGTATAACCATTTTGGTTCCAGGTAGAACTCTTTTGGGTTCCATATATAACCCTTTCCACAGAGGGTTCTACATGGAACCCAAAAGGGTTCTCCTATGGGGACAGCCAAAGAACCCTTTCAGAACCCTTTTTTCTAAGAGTGTACACTGACTGTCTCTCACACACACACACAAGGTGGTTAAAAAGGTTATGTAAATAGTACGCCCTCAAAATAAATTGTTTATTCTATGAGGGAGCAAGCATATGCAATAAAAGGGACAGAAATGACAAAAAATACAGAGAGGAAAGAAAATATTTTTAATAAACAATTCTGTAAATTGTTTGTCCTTTTGTTCTGGGATGGAGTGCAGTGCATAGCCTAACAGACAGTTTTTTTCTTTGTATTTTTTTAAAGACAAATTAAGAATTGATAGGCTAAATTGTTTTGATCTGTAAAAAGTTTGTCAGTGTATTTTCTAACATGCATAGCCGGCAAAAAGATGAAGAAAGATTATTAGCTTGTTTTGATTGTACAATGTTGTGGCATAAGCGTCAGGAGAAGAAAAGTTGTACTCAACAAACAATATATGGGGCAATCGAATACCTTTCTGTGTCTGGAAATAATGCAGGCAACAGTAGCCAGCCATGCAGGGCTCTACGCGTGTGCGCCTAAGTTGAAAAATGTAGGCACACACAAAGAAATGTAGGAGCACAATGAAAAATGAGGTGTTGAATCTAGAATCCTTTACATTTTTCTAGGCACACTGGTGCGCCTAAATTAAAATTGCAGGTCGCATAGCAAAATATTTAGAAGAATATGCAAGTAAAATGGTCATACTGTAGAGCCCTGCAATGCATTATAGCAAGAGACAGGCGTTGGCGACCATTTTCAGCTGTGTGGGCCCCAGAGGTGCAGACAAGAGGGAAGTAGATGACCTCATGAAGCTGACATACACTTATCAATGCCACATGATGAACACTTGTCGTCCTCCAAGCATCAGTGACCTCCAGGAACAGTGGCCTTTCCTTTTCACCAAGTTATGGCTCTGCGACCACTTCAATACCCTCACTGGCATCCAGATTGACAGTCGCCTGACTCAAGCTCTCCTGAACAAGGGTAAGAGAATTGTCAAATTTTTTAAAAGCCAAAAGACCAAGTGGAGGAGAGAGATCCAGTGCCTGCTGAATGGAATTGGCGGTAACATCAGATGCAATGACGATCTAACATTCACTGCTGCCATTCTTTTGTTGATGACCCACTTCAAAGAGAAAGACGAATCTCTGTTCCTCTTGGCAGATGTAAGGAATAGTGTTTTTATACTTATAAAGTCTATATATGATTAATGGTGTTGAGACTGTATTATTACAGTATGAAAAATGTATGCACTAACTGTAAGTCACTCTGGATAAGAGTGTCTGCTAAAATGACTAAAATGTCAAATGTAAAATTACACATGATTTGAATCTTTTTTTTAATGTATGTTTTGTGATTTTAGGTCACTGCAACTCAGGTTGATGTCGAGGCGCAAATTCCTTTGCCAGACATACCAAGGCTGATCATGCTTGGTAATACAATTTTTTGATTTAAGGTGGAACAGAAATATATAGTAATATAGAGATACAATGGGGAAAATAAGTATTTAGTCAGCCACCAATTGTGCAACTTCTCCCACTTAAAAAGATGAGGGAGGCCTGTAATTTTCATCATAGCTACACGTCAACTATGACAGACAAAATGAGAAAAAGAATTCCAGAAAATCACATTGTAGGATTTTTAATGAATTTATTTGCAAATTATGGTGGAAAATAAGTATGTGGTCACCTACAAACAAGCAAGATTTCTGGCTCTCACAGACCTGTAACTTCTTCTTTAAGAGGCTCCTCTGTCCTCCACTCGTTACCTGTATTAATGGCACTTGTTTGAACTTGTTATCAGTATAAAAGACACCTGTCCACAACCTCAAACAGTCACACTCCAAACTCCACTATGGCCAAGACCAAAGAGCTGTCAAAGGACACCAGAAACAAAATTGTAGACCTGCACCAGGCTGGGAAGACTGAATCTGCAATAGGTAAGCAGCTTGGTTTGAAGAAATCAACTGTGGGAGCAATTATTAGGAAATGGAAGACATACAAGACCACTGATAATCTCCCTCGATCTGGGGCTCCACGCAAGATCTCACCCCGTGGGGTCAAAATGATCACAAGAACAGTGAGCAAAAATCCCAGAACCACACGGGGGGACCTAGTGAATGACATGCAGAGAGCTGGGACCAAAGGAACAAAGCCTACCATCAGTAACACACTACGCCGCCAGGGACTCAAATCCTGCAGTGCTAGACGTGTCCCCCTGCTTAAGCCAGTACATGTCCAGGCCCGTCTGAAGTTTGCTAGAGTGCATTTGGATGATCCAGAAGAGGATTGGGAGAATGTCATATGGTCAGATGAAACCAAAATATAACTTTTTGGTAAAAACTCAACTCGTCGTGTTTGGAGGACAAAGAATGCTGAGTTGCATCCAAAGAACACCATACCTACTGTGAAGCATGGGGGTGGAAACATCATGCTTTGGGGCTGTTTTTCTGCAAAGGGACCAGGACGACTGATCCGTGTAAAGGAAAGAATGAATGGGGCCATGTGTCGTGAGATTTTGAGTGAAAACCTCCTTCCATCAGCAAGGGCATTGAAGATGAAACGTGGCTGGGTCTTTCAGCATGACAATGATCCCAAACACACCACCCGGGCAACGAAGGAGTGGCTTCGTAAGAAGCATTTCAAGGTCCTGGAGTGGCCTAGCCAGTCTCCAGATCTCAACCCCATAGAAAATCTTTGGAGGGAGTTGAAAGTCCGTGTTGCCCAGCGACAGCCCCAAAACATCACTGCTCTAGAGGAGATCTGCATGGAGGAATGGACCAAAATACCAGCAACAGTGTGTGTAAACCTTGTGAAGACTTACAGAAAACGTTTGACCTGTGTCATTGCCAACAAAGGGTATATAACAAAGTATTGAGAAACTTTTGTTATTGACCAAATACTTATTTTCCACCATAATTTGCAAATAAATTCATAAAAAATCCTACAATGTGATTTTCTGGAGAGAAAAACATCTCTATTTGTCTGTCATAGTTGACGTGTACCTATGATGAAAATTACAGGCCTCTCTCATCTTTTTAAGTGGGAGAACTTGCACAATTGGTGGCTGACTAAATACTTTTTCCCCCCACTGTATCTAGTAAGTATGCACTAACACCCTTACTTTTGTGTATTTTAGGAAATACTCTATTGGATTCCTCAACATTGATGGTGTCGATCGAGGGGAGAGTGGTCTGTGGTTTGGACAGTGAGTCCAACTTTACTGCTGCCCTCTCTGTGCTCTTCAGCACTTTCTATGTTGTTAACATAGAATACCAGGAGTCGGCCTCTGCAACCTTGGAGCTGATAAAGATGTAAGCGTTGAATACTCACTTACGTTTAGCATTTGTTAGTTAAATTGCAATGATATTTCTTATTGTTATTTTCTCAATGCCTCAACTGATTTCATATATTCTATGTTGGGTTGTGCAGGTTCCTGGTTCGAATAAACCCTGAACGAACCAAATGCACAGCGAAAGCAGGTGTGAGCCGCAATACTGGAAAGGTCGTACAGAGGAAGCCATTGCCAATTAACCCACGTTACACGCTTTCTCATTGACCTGAAGGAGTTCGAGTGGAAAAAATCCAACATGTACAGTAAGAACACAAACACACACACCAATAGCAATAGCAATATCAATAGAAATTGTAATAGTAATAGTAATAGTAATAGTAATAGTAGTAGTAATAGTAATAGTAATAGTAATAGTAATAGTAATAGTAATAGTAATAGTAATAGCAATAGCCATAGTAATAGCAATAGCAATAGTACTAGTAATAGCAGCAGTAATAATAATAGTAATAGTAAAACCAATAGCAATATCAATAGTATTAATAGTAATAGTAATATTAGTAATAGTAATAGTAATAGTAATAGTAATATCAATAGTAATAGCAATAGAAATAGTAACAGTAATAGTAATAATAGTAGTAGTAATAGTAATAGTAATAGTAATAATAATAATAATTGTAATAATAATAGCAATAGTAATAGTAATAGTAGTAGAAATAGTAATAGTAATAGTAGTAATTAAATAGTAATAGCTGTAGTAGTAGTGGTAATAGTAGTAAGTGTAATAGTAATAGTTATAGTAATAGTAATAGTAATAGTAGTAGTAATAGCAATAGCAATAGCAAAAGCAATAGTAATAGTAATAGTGGTAGTGGTAGTAATAGTAATAGTCATAATAGTAATAGTAATAATAGTAATAATAGTAATATTAGTAATATTAGTAATAGTAATAGTAATAGTAGTAGTAATAGTAGTAGAAATTGTAATAGTAATTGTAATAGCAATAGTAATAGTTGTAGTGATAGTAATAGTAATATTAATAGTAATTGTAGTAGAAATTGTAATAGTAATAGTAGTAATAGTAATAGCAGTGGTAATAGTAGTAATTACATAGTAATAGTTGTAGCAATAGTAGTAATAGTAGTAATAGTAATAGTAATAGTAATAGTAATAGTAGTAATATTAGTAGTTATAGTAATAGTTACAGTAATAGTAGTTGTAATAGTAGTTGTAATGTTAGTAGTAATAGTAGTAGTAATAGTAGTAATTGTAATAGTTATAGTAATAGTAGTGGTAATAGTAATAGTAATAGTAATATTAATAGTAATAGCAATAGTAAAAGTAATAGTAGTAGTAATATTAATAGTAGTAGTAATAATAATAGTAATAGTAGTAGTAATAGTAATAGTAATAGTAATAGTAACAGTAATAGTAGTGATAGTTATAGTTATGGTAATAGTAATAGTAATAGTTATAGCAGTAGTAATAGTAATAGTAATAGTAGTAGCAATAGCAATAGCAATAGCAATAGCAATATTAATAGTAGTAGTAATAGTAATAGTAGTAGTAATAGTAGTAATAGTAGTAATTACATAGTCGTAGTTGTAGTAGTAGTGTCAATAGTAATAATAGTAATAGTAATAGTAATAGTTATAGTTATAGTACTAGTACTAGTAATAGCAATAGTAGTAGTCATAGCAATAGTAATAGTAATAGTGATAGTGGTAGTAATAGTAATAAGAGTAATAGTAGTAATAGTAATAGTAGTAATAGTAATAGTAATAGTAATAGTAATAGTAATAGCAATAGCAATAACAATAGCAGTAGTAATAATTATAGTAATAATAATGTAATAGTAGTAGTAATAATAGTAATAATAATAGTAATAGTATTAGTATTATTATTAGTATTAGTATTAGTAGTAGTAGTAGTAGTAGTAGTATTGGTATTAGTATTTGTTATAGTAATAGTAATAGTACTAGTAATATTAATAGTAGTAGCATTAGCATTAGCAATAGTAATAATAGTAGTAATAGTAATAGTAGTAGTAGCAGTACTAGTGATAGTAATAGTAATACTAGTAGTAATAGTAATAGTAATAGTAACAGTAATAGTTGTAGTAATAGTAATAGTAATAGTAATAGTAATAGTAATAGTAATAGTAATAGTAATAGTGGTGATAGTAATAGTAGTAATAGTAGTAATAGTAATAGTAATAGTAGTATTAGTAATAGTAATAGTAATCTCTCTCTTTCTATTATTTCTATTTCCATGTCTGTCCTAATTGACGTATCAGAGCTGAGGAGGATCAGAGTTTCAAAGATCTGGGTGAGAATCTGCAATCCACCGAGACTTTTTAGAGACTTGTTTGCATCTCTCATTCTCTCAGAAATCCTGCCATGCGAGTTGGGTCAGCAGATGCTCTGCTAGCGCCATCCCGGAGCCTGTGTTGGCTTGATGTTGCGTGCCTCTCTGGCTCCAGTCTAGCCCTGCTCGATCCTCTCTATCCATCCCTCTCTCTCAGCCTCTCTCTCATTTCTCTCTCAAAGACAGGCAGGCAAGCAGTTATTGTTATTGTTTTTTGTAAACATTTCTCTGTGTTCAACTGTTGTTTTCCTGTTTTTCATTGATCCGTTTTATTAGTTTTTTTCTTACATAGTCCAGCATTTTCACGAATGACATATTCTGATGTCTTGGTTTGTGTATGGTGAAGTACATTATTGGCCAGTATTTGTCAATGTTCTTATCACTGCATCTCTCTCTCTCTCTCTCTCTCTCTCTCTCTCTCTCTCTCTCTCTCTCTCTCTCTCTCTCTCTCTCTTTCGCTCTCTCTTTCTCTCTCTCTCTCCGTCTCTGTCTCTCTCTCTCTCTCTCCTACTATCTGGAGTTGTAATGTTGCTCTTTTCAAATGTTGTTCTTTGTGGTTAATGTTATGAATTTCAATAAATATATATATATATATATATATATATAAATATATATATATATATATATATATATATATATATATATATATATATATATATATATATATATATATATATATATATATATATTTAGGTTGATGGAGGTGAACCAATCACCGGGATGCACAGACCGTAACAGCTGCTGGTTTGTGAGCATTTTGAACATACAAACTTTTAGATGCTTGCTCAGGACACATGTCTAGAATGGGGCGTGAAGTCCTGACCCCTTTCCGGAACCAGGAAATATTGTCTGTACCAGCCGTCCTGGATCCGAGATAGAAACCACTCGGATTGCCCTCTTCTGGAGATGAGAGAATATTCTCTCCCTCAAAACGGGCACTGAGGCCTCGGGAACAATCGATGTGATGAAGCCACAGGAGCATGTGGGACGCACAACAAATTGTAGACTTATGAGAACCATACAAACTTCAGCACACAACGTCCAAGGAGTGAGCACACTCTTTAGTTGGCATAGCGTAAGACAGTCTCGTTCCAATTGTTTGTTTTAGTAGAGTGAATTGTTCCTGTTCACACTGAGGTGAAGAGTGGAATAATTGAAGGAATGAATCCGAGCCTCACGCTTATCACCTGTGGAAAGCGGGGCTTCCAATCAGGTGTGATTATAGGGCCTTCAACTGAAGTTGCGAGACTGCGACTCCCCATAATATCTTGTACCGAAGTTGACTGAAATTTCGATGAAACATGGTGAAGCCCCAAAACTGCCTACCCTGGAAGCCTGTGTTTCAGACATAAGGAAGTGAATGGCGGCAAATGTTCTACTTTAAAACTCGGACAAAATGGAGATGCTAGTTCTAGGTTCCAAGAAACAAAGAGATCTGCTGTTTCATCTGACAATTAATCTTGATGGTTGTACAGTCGTCTCAAATAAAACTTTGAAAGACCTCAGCGTTACTCTGGACCCTGATCTCTCTTTTGAAGAACATATCAAGAATATTTCAAGGGCAGCTTTTTTCTATCTTCGTAACATTGCAAATATCTGAACGTTTTTGTCCAAAGATTATGCAGAAAAACTAATCCATGCTTTTGTCACTTCTAGATTAGACTACTGCAATGGTCTACTCTCCGGCTACCCGGATAAAGCGTTAAATGAACGTAAGTTATAGCTAAATACGGCTGCAAGAATCTTGACTAGAACCAAAATATTTTATCATATTACTCCAGTGCTAGCCTGGCTTCCTGTTAAGGCTTGGGCTGATTTCAAGGTTTTACTGCTAACCTACAAAGCATTACATGGACTTTCTCCTACCTATCTCTCCGATTTGGTCCTGCCGTACATACCTACAGGTATGCTACGATCACAAGATGAAGGCCTCCTTGTTGTCCCTAGAATTTCTAAGCAAACAGCTGGAGGAAGGGCTTTCTCCTATAGAGCTACATTGTAATGTAATGGTCTACCAATCCATGTGAGAGACGCAGACTCTGTCTCGACCTTTAAGTCTTTACTGAAGACTCATCTCTTCAGTAGGTCCTATGATTGAGTGTAGTCTGGCCCAGGGGTGCGAAGGTGAACGGTAAGGCCCTGGAGTGACAAACCACCCTTACTGTCTCTACCTGGACAGCTCCCCTCTCTCCACTGGAATTCTCTGCCTCTGACCTTATTACGGAGGCTGAGCACTGGCTTACTAGTGCTCTTCCATGTCATCCCTAGGAGGGATTTGTCACGTCGTGCCAGGCTTTTTTCGCTCTACTCGACTTGAGTGTGTTGAGTCACTGACATGATCTTCCTGTCTGGTTTTGCACCCCCTCGGGCTCGTGCGGTATAGGAGATCTTTGTGGGCTATACTCAGCTTTGTCTCAGGGAAGTAAGTTGGTGGTCTGTTGATATCCATTTAGTGGTGTGGGGGCTGTGATTTGGCATAGTGGGTGGGTTATATCCTGCCTGGGTGGCCCTGTCTGGGGTTATTATCAGACAGGGCTACAGTGTCCCCCGACCCCCCCTGTCTCAGCCTCCATTATCTATGCTTAGTCTATGTGCCGGGGGGCTATGGTCAGTCTGTCCTATCTGGTGAAATTCTCCTGTCTTATCTGGTGTCCTGTGTGAATTTAAGTATGCTCCCTCCAGTTATCCCATCTCCTCCCACCCCCACACCCCCCCGGATCTTCTGTTTTCGACCTTCTCTCTCCCTCTCCGGCTCCCTCTCTCTCTACCTCTGTACCGCACCTGCTGTCTCGACCTCTGAATGCTCGGCTATGAAAAGCCAACAAACATTTACTTCTGAGGTGCTGACCTGTTGCACCCTCTACAACCACTGTGATTATTATTTGACCCTGCTGGTCATC